TGTAGAATTTAATAACATGCTCAACTAAATATTACTAAAACAAATAAAATTTTAAAAAAATAATAATAATAATTCAAATCAGGGTGGGAAAGATTTTGCCGCAGGTGGAAAAAACCATGGTAAATACCGGTAAAAACCGTCCTGGCAAAAACAGGTTTTTGTCAAGCAAGTTGACAAAAAGTGACAAAAACCTATATTTTCCAAGATGAGAGGACAAAAACACATTTTTGGTACAAAATTATTCCTAAAATTGAAATATATACTATAAATATAAATAATTACAAAAAAATTAACAAAATTATTATTCCATAATTAAATCATAATGTAATAATATATCATTTTAGTAGTTTAAAACATTATTGATTGGAAAATTTGCGATTATTCTCTTTTTTCCAGTGAAATGAACTTATTTTAAATTAATATAACTATAATTTAAAGCATAAAATATCTTTTAAGATGTGTAGTTAATTATTGTACAAATAATAATTTTTTATAATATAATAATAATAATATTATACAAATAATAATATTTATTTATTTGTAAAAAAAACATTTATTTAAGGATTCTAAAATGAAAAGAGGTCAAAAACTTTCAATATTTTAAAAATTATTGCTTTTATATTAATTATTAATATGTAAAAAAAAAAAATTTAATGTAATGTATCAAAAATTATTATTCCTTATGATTGATTTAAATTTGTTTCAAGTATTTTGTAATAATATTTAATCAGCAATTTAGATAATTTGGTTTTTGCCGGTTTTTACCACTGTCCTGGCAAAAAACCCTTTTTGTCGGCAAAAACTCCAACCCTGATTCAAGTACTTATCAAGTAACAGAAATAAACAGGCCTTAAAACTATATCTGTGGAGAAAAAAAAAATCCCTGTGGGTGTCATACCATTGATTGCAACACATTTTAAAATTTTTAAGAAACATGAATAAATTGTACACATATATTTATTGAAGTAAAATAAACCAAGATATCTCCATTTTAAAAAATAAATTTTATTATGTCACTTTTTAATATTGTGGCAAATAAGAAGAAATATATTAATAATAATAATGGAATTTTTTTTTATAACTATATAAAATATAACTGTAAAATACACTTTACAATTAATATGTTTTTAGCATATCTATTATTCAAACCAAGATCTCTCCTTTTTAAAAAACAAAATTTAATAATGTCACATTTTAATATTGCAGTAATTAAGTATAAATATGTTAATAATGATAATGGAAATTTTTTTATAGTTTAACTATATACAAAATATTACATTTTACAATCAATATTTTTCGGCATATCTACTATTTTACACATGCACTACACAGATGTAATAGGAATTGAAATAAACATAGCATATTTACAATTTATTCAACTAACATAATTATAAGGGATATATAAATTATACTAATTAAATTTTAAATATATGATTTTAAATTCTTCTGCACAGTTGGATAAACATTATATGCATATAATGTTTTTTTTATTTCCACAACATAACATACAGACATACATTTAATTTGATTACTACTTAAATATATGTACTATAAACATTAGATACAACGTAATATCTTAAAACTTATTATATTAACAAAACTATTTTATTTTTCGTTAACTTAAGAGAAAAAAATTTTTTATTGGTAATAAAATATAAAGAGACAAATATTAAAACAATATTTATGTTTTTGTATAATAAATTATTAGTATGCATAAAAATAAAATTATTTAAAAAGAGTTACATTTTAATATTTTTACATTTCAGTTTAAACCAGATTTAAAAATCAATACAAAAAAAAAATACTCTGCATAATATATTGGCAAATCTAGTATCAAGGTTTTATGGAAAGATTGTAAAGCACAAAAAATAAAAATAAGAAAGAAGAGTAAATTAAAATGCATATTTAAAGGCACTAGAAAAGAAATTAGCCCAGACTATGTTTAAAACAATGCTAGCTGAATAAAGTTCTCAGGGTTATAATAAAGTCTTCAATTATAATTTGTTAAATAATTTCAGTATAAAGTCACTAATAGTAATGTTTTATATTAACTATAAACATTTTAATAACATTAAAAGTCAAGATCCAAAAAGGTATTTCAAATCATCTACCTTACAGAAAACCTACGTACAGGAAGAAAATGGAAAAACCCAGATGAAATTGGACGAAGTGAAAGAAAGTACAACTGACTATTGCAACTTTTACCCGATAAACATTACAGTAATAGCCTAATAAATTAAATATAATACCAGAATAACAATTAGTGTTGTAAAAAATAAAATCTAAAGGCCATATCTAACAGTTAAGTGTAACTATTCATGCTATAACAGTATTTGATTTTAAAAATTAGTATGCAATTTATAAATGGAAATTCAAAATGTGATTTATAGTAAAGAATAATGTGCAAATTACAAATTACAATCAACGAGCAATGAATAATTAGTATGCCATCCGTTAATTTAATTTTACAAATAAAATCTTATAATTATTTATATAATTAAAAAATTATGGACAAACTTACCACTTTACATAAATCATTTAAGGATACAAAAATTTTAATTTAAAAAAAAATTGGTTTAAAATTTAATATCTAATTATTTCGCTTTTTTATCTAAAAATAGACATAATAAGATACTTTTTGCGCAATAAAAACAATAATCATCTGTCTAAAATTTCAAGTACGATTTTCAGATAATTTGTTTTAAAATGTGAACATACAGCCTCCCTGTATTTAATATTATTAGGATATCACATATTTGTAATAACAACTTTATAAGGAATGATATCAATAAAATTAAGTTAATGTACCACTCTAGATTTTCATTGATAAACAAATTGCATAAAAAATTGCTTAATTAGAATAGGATGTAAAGTTTGAAAGAGATTAAAACAGTATTATTACCTTATTTTTCAGATCATTGGCTGTATTTTTGACAGCTTGATAAAAATAATAAATTCACACTATAAGTTCACACTATAAGAAGCTATAAGTTCAAAACATAGCTAGCATTACACAAAATCAATATAGAAACTGTCAAAGAATAAACTTATTTTTGTATTGTATGTTAATGTAAATAAATTTTCGTAAAATCAACATTTTTCAGAAGATGCTAAAATGCAAGCAAATTCTGACAACAAAAAAATTAATTATTCACAAATTAATTTCTGAAAATATATTATAATTGTCTTAAATTATATTTATCTAGAAGACATTCAACCAAAATAATGGGATCCTATTTCAGCTTATGGGTTATCCTCATATTTTGGTGGTTAATCCAGTAAAAAATAAAAGGTACTCAGTTTATTCAGAAAAAGTAAGTTGTGTCTGACTTCGTAACTTTAAATTGTGCCTGCACTTATTAGTTAGCATATTTAAGGTTAGAACCTTGAACCTTTAAGATACACCATAGAATGTTAAAATGTGACCATTAGAACAAAAGTTATTAAAGTGACCCCTTTCATATTTTACGTACTACATACACTTGTATTATGTTCATGTAAAACTGTGGAATAAATATAAAAACTCTTTTTTCATCAAAACTTGTATAATATTCAACATTTAAAATAAGAAATATTAAAAGAAATTATAAATTAAGAACTAATAGAACAATAGGTACTCTAAAAATTATAAAAAAATAAATTATTGAATGAAATAAATAATGTGCAAATTCAATAAATCAAGATAAGAATTACATTTTAAACATATTCAAAAAAATTGTAAGTTAACATAATTGTACCTTTTTTAATATTTTTCTCAATTGGATAGCTTAATGTAGAATAGAAAATGTAGAATAGAAAATTTGAATAACTTAATTATGTCTATTTATTATTATATCACATTGAACAATTCAATTGAATGTGCAGGAGAAAAAAATATCAGCAAATAAACAAACCAGAGATATATTAAAGAATGTTTTTGTCAAAAGAAATGATATTTATAATTTAAATTCTAAAAATTCTATAAAAATCAATTGATAAATATTGCATTGAATAAATATGAAGATTGGATTTATATTTCACAACATATTTAGAAAAAACAATAATAAACAAAGTTCACAGACACGAAATGTTTAATTTTTGTCTTATTTGAATAATTTTAATTTATTGTCAGTCAAATAAAAAAATGTGTTACAAAAAATTTGAATAGTTAATTTAATCATTTTCGTGGTTTAATAGCTTAAATGTATTACCAATTTAATAGAAAAAGTAATTTAGAAAATTCGATTAACTTAATTATTGGCTTATTTAATTAGTTTAATTTATCATCAGTTGGATAAATTGTGTCGAAAAAAAAGACCAACAAATAAACAAACCAAAGAATGTATAAAAATGCACTAAACTTTACTTTCACCTACATATAAATAAAAATATCTTTTGCCGGTGAGTGATTTAAAATTTATAGCTTAATTTTTTTTCTCTCATTAAGAACAACGAGTTAGAAAGTAAATACTAAAGTTCACGATACATAAACATGACGATTTGTTCATCACATCGTTTTCACTACCCCCATTCGCCATTTGAGACGTACCCGCCTCTGACCCAATCTCATATTTATGAGTAGAACCCATCCGCAATTTCAGCACAAGTATTTTCGGGCGTGATCGTCTTATTAGAATGTCTCATGTTAGGCGAGAAAGTGCCTGCACGCCACCCATACATGCATTGAAACAAGTACCCAGATTCACTGTCAAAACACTTACATTAAACGATCCGCAGTACTGCAGACGATATTCAAAAATTGCAATGTTTACATCCTGTTTATGATACGCAGCTGTAAATAAACGGGCTTTTCCGTATCAATCATATCGTTATTTTAGGCTTAGAATACCAAAAGATAAGTTCGTATTCATCTGCAAGCTCGAAATGGAAGGAAAATAAGAAAGCTTCGCAGATTTCGCTTTCATCTGGGACGGACGAATCGTAGTTGAAAATTCGCGATTCTATTTCTAGACTACCTAAGCAAATAAACCAACAATGTAAATGCAAAATCAGTTACTTACCATTTCTTAGTTTCCTTTTCACCTACTCCTCCACATTTCGTTACTCTTCTCTCTCGCACAGCCCGCGACTTTACTGTGTAGATGTGGTTTATTCAATGGCAAAAAATCAATCACGGTATATCGATCGATAGTCAAGGGTTCTCCCAGTAAAGCGCGTGCGATCTCGACGGTGAGGTATATGTTCTCAGCTGTGGCGTAGTAAAATATTTTTCCTCTCTCTCGCGCGATTTTGGCTCAGAGGATCCAGCGCGCATGTCAATCAAACTGACTCGACCAATGAGAAGAGCGAATAATGATCATCTTTTATCCCACTTGAAAAAACCGCCGTTATTTCGGAACGGGAGGTTTTTGTTTTGAAAAGATGTTCTGGATTTCTTAAACATTTAACAGGAGAAAGTGGAATTAAAACTATAATAACGAATCTTTTTTAAAAAATAAACTGTGATATTAAGAATTAGAATTTCGGAAAAGAATATTTTTGTTATAGTTTTCGATTTAATCATGATTCTGCTTCTTCTCCTATTGAAAAAGCATAAATTTCATTTTGTATAAGAAAAAGATAACTATAATTAAATATTGATTCATGTTCAAAAGGAAAAAAATAAATGGAATAAATTTAATTAGTTAGTCATGTTGGAATTGTGTATAAAACACATACTTATGTTTTGCAAATTAATTTTGTACCCAAGTACTGCGTTTTATTAAAAAAAAATGACAAATTTTTGCGTGATCAATTTTAAAATCAGTGTAGAACTTTTCTTTATTTTTAAATAAATAAATAGAAAAAACTTTTAATTGAAAATAATTTTTTTCCGAAGTTCTATTACTGTTAATTATAAATAGATTTATTTTAGCAAACGAGAAATCTTTTAAAATTACTTATACTTCTGAAACATTTATATTTTTTACTAAATTCTTAATCTTTTTACGAAACTAATTTCATATTTTATCTATATTTTATGAATATATGTATGTGCCTTATATTTCTTTATGCATACACTATTTGTTAAATATAAAACATTTTGCTTGTTAATTGCATATTTCTCGAAGCTTGGTATTTTGAAATAAATGATACCTAATTTTTAAATGAACAATTTGGAAATACGCGTTGTGTTATTATTTTCTCTATATTTATAAAACTTGTACGGCTACATTTTGCTTTGCTGCGTTATGTTATGTTATATATTTATGTTATATTGTATGGTCATGCTTAAGAAGACGCCATACCACGGTAGAAACTTTTCGTTTCAAATTCTCTTCCCCCTTCATAACTAATTTAAAGTAAAGAAAAAGTGAGTTAAGACAAACCTAAAGTAAGCCACGAATTTTCGATTGCTGAAAAAAATAATTAAAAACATAAAAATGGAAGCAAATTATTGGAAGATAACACACATTATCTTTACTTTGAGTTTTAAATTAGCTATGGAGGGAATGATAATTTGTAAGAAAAAGTTTCTCTCGTGGTATGGCGACCTCTCAAATTGATGTAAAAGAAAGTAGAGGGAGGGAGAAATTAGATGTTGCAGATATATTCCGCAGGGTGCGTAGCGTTTTTGAAAAGTGCTTAAAGGTACTTATTTTTGATTTACGTTTTTTAAAAGCTTTGAAAGATGTTTTTTCAATTGCGAGTTTGCAAAAAGTGCTTAATTTTTTTTTCTTTTTCAAAATTATATTTTTCCTTTGCGTATCGCCTCAAGTTGCGAAAAAATCATGATATTAGCTATTTTCCTTTCATTATTTATCAGAAACTAGTTTATTTTTTTAAATCGCGATTATGCAAAGTTAATAAAAATACTTTTACATTTTGTTGATTTTATGTTTATAAATGAACTTTAAACAGCAGAAAGATTTTTTTTTATTTCTGTGAATATTCCAATTTTTCTTTTTAAGAAAACCTATTAAAAATATTTTTAGAGTGCTTAAAAATGCTTGAAAGGTGCTCATTTTTTGCTAAAAGCATTTGGCTACGCACCCTGTTCCATTTATATTGAAATTTTTGAGAACATAAAAACCTTAATTCAAGAGAGATAGAAACCATTATCAATTTAGAATAATATATCTTTAAGAGAATAAAAGTCATGAATGATCCCTGGAATTCATGAATAAGTCAGGTTAACGAATAAAATTACTTCTCATTCATTTTTTTCCTTACTGAGCCACAAAATCTGCAATCCTAAGTATAATTATTTTTTTCAATTGCTTAATTATTTTTCTAATCGAGGTAATCGTTCATTTCAACATGGTTTACTTATTAACAAAATGTACTTAAATTAAATTAAAATAACTGTATAAATTAGGATCGAAATGTTCCTGTTTTTGTGAAAAATATGGGAGTTTAAAAGAAAAACAAAAATGAATGTTTAAGTAATCACGGGGGTTGGTGGGCCAAGCTAACAGGAGGGGATGGAGGCGGAAGATCAAAAATAAATCTAAATAATTACTTCATAGCTAAGTTTTTATTAGTGTGAAAATACAAAATTATTCTAAACAAATACTTAACGTGCAAGTAATTATTGAACGCGACTTAAATTAATACTAAAGACGACCTAGCAAAATGAAATATTACAGATGACCATAACGTTGCATATTTAGAGTGGTGCCTCGTAAGAAAAATAATTATGGAAATTAAACATTGCTTAAAAAATTTTAATTTATCTGAGTATTACATTATTTATTTAAAAAGTTTGACTTATTCCATGAAAGTAGAATTTATTTGACATGAAATATATGATATTCAATATCTTTTGTGTCCAAAGAAAAAAAATTTTTTAATTAATTTATAAGCTCAGACTATGAAGGAACTTCTTCAAAAGTTGATATAAGTGTGATTTGTCCTACTAATTTTATGAAGTTTGAATTCAAGAAGACATTTATTTCAAAATTTTTAATCAATTTATGAATTAATCAATTATGTTTTAATCAATTTATGCATCAATCACGTATTGTACAGTGCACACAAAAAAAGTAAACACCCTGAATAACTTTTGATCTAATGATTGTATTTCCATATCCGAGGACTTAATATCAGTTTTTCGAGGATCTGATCTTAAATATGCTAATTAATTCGTGCAGACGACAATTAGTTTAGACAGATTGATAGTTTAAACAGAAGAGAAGTAGACATTTTGGTCCCCTTATTATTAATTTCATTCTTTGCTTATATTTCAAGAACTTTTTAAGCAAAGCAAAAGTTTTGTGCATATAATTATAAAATATTTTGTTACTAAATTTTGAAGTTTTGTACGTTAAAAATTTGATTTATTGAGAATGATTCAACCGATATCCTGTAAACTTCGTAGTTTGTGATTTAAAATTACATACTTTAAAGTAGTGTGAAAATAGGTTTACCTTAGAAATCAAAATATTTCAACCGTTTTTAAGTAAAATAATAATAAAAAAAATATTAAAATTATTTTTTTACAAGGAATTAATTTTGCACTTTCGTAATTGTGCGCAAACCTGGTGTTAAAGGAATTTCATAATTAGGAACAAATATTTTTAATTTCTTGAAAATGTTCTCGAGATATAGCGAAACACGTAAAAATTTAAATTTGCATAAGGAAGTTCAAACTTTTGCTTGCTATCCTGCTTAAACTAGTGGGACCATATTTTTCAGATTACAAAACCACCAATATTTTGAGGGTCAATTCTTCGGGAAAAAAATATGTTCATTCAGAGAAAGTTTTTATGTCTGATTTCGTAACTTAAAACATCTTCTTCACAAATTTATTAGCATATGTAAGGACCTAGTATGAAAAAATTCAGTCATTAGAACGAAAGTCATTCAAGGTGTTCACTTCTTTTTAAACTCTATACATCAATTTCAATAAAAAAAATTATAAGTGTTAGTTAATTGAACATGAAATGTGATTATATTTATACCAAAGAACGACAATCTTTTTGTTTTATTCAGCTAATGCTAAATAAGTTCATATAACTTTTATTAATTTAAAATTTTAACTTCTTCTTCTCACGTGTAAAAAGAAAAAAAAGTGAGATAGGAAATATTTTAATATTTTTTATTACTCAACTGATGATTTAAAAAAAATATTGGATGATTTTATTAAAACTCATGCATTATGTGCAGAAAATATAAATGAAAACTTTTCATTTTCTTTTGAAAACTAGTACTATCTTCAAAAAATCTAAAATTTCTAAATCTTCTACTACAAATTAGAAATATCTTCTATAAAAATTCGAAATGTTCTACTTAATTTTTTAAAATTTCTTTTTAATCAAACCAATAAGTTTTTCTAAATAGTGCAATTTATTGGTGTACGGAAAATTACATATAAAAATTTTTTTCATTACTACTTCGAGAAATACAAATTTTTCCTTAAGTTTATTTCAAAAGAAAATATAGATTGATACAGAATACGGAAATAATACGGCATTTTATAAATAATTTTTAAATAATTTTTTTAAATTGTGTCATTTATTAAGCTAATTATTTGTATTTGCGTTGCATACGAATCATTTAATAGCCACATATTGAAGTAACTTATAATTTTTACTATCTTCTTCCTCTTATTATTATTATTATTGAAATGCAAATATGTAATATATTCTGTATACATCAAAATACATTTTTTCTAAATAGTAATAAGGCAGTCAATAGTTCTTTTTTCCATAATTAAATAAGTTTTGTGATGTGTGGGCAGTGGGTATCACGAATCAAAACTGTGACAATCCAATTAACATAAGTAATATTATATTAAAAAAATCCTTATATTTAAGCATTAATTTTAATCAACTAGCTTTAATCATTGTCACTTTACTAATAGTCTTAGCTGAAACTAATATTAAAGATTGACCATTACTCTTTACTGCAGTAAACGCCTGGGTGAAACTTTCACAGCAAGAGGAAGGAGTTCTCAGCAAAGACAGTTTTACAGAGTTGTTAGTCCAGTTTCGACATCTTCACCCCGATCTAGAACTGGGCGAAATAAATTTGAGTCTTTTATCGGGACAATGGGCTTATTAGCAATAATAACTTATTAATGCACTTACTAGTTAGTACATATTAGAATGTGCTTATTAGCATATACTTTTAGTATAGATTTATTAATATACACATATTAATGTAAATTTCCTAAGCAGATATCCTTCTATTCGCTTTAGAATAACTTCAACAGAAAATTATTAAGTTATCCGACTGCTTAAAAATCGGCAATTACAACAAAAATTTCGATTTTTTTTTATTATTATTATCCATAATTGAACTTAGATCATTAGCTTTCCAAAACCCTTTAAAATTTTGATCTCCGAATTTTAGAAATAAAATTACAGTTGTTACTTCCGAA